GAGTCCCAAATGATGAGAGAACCCGACTCCCAAAGTTTCTTCTGGGCTCCACAGGTGTGCAATGGCATGCACACATGCATGTGCATGCACAAACATACAAATACAAGAGCTTGAGTGACAGAGCACACACTTAGCCTGCCTAAGCCTCATTCAAAACCCCAAACTAGGAAATACAAGTTTATTTCTCACTCAATAAAAATCTAGGAGATACTTTCCTGGACTTTCTTAACTAATAAAATGAATTAAACTATTTTATTAGGTCCTAGGTTCAAGCCAAGGTGGCAGATGGCATGGAGAGAAGGGGTTAATTAATTGGAACTTAAATAGCCCTTTATAGCTTGTGGCAATCATAAGTACTGGGTAAATCTAGAACAAAGCTTAATATGTAACAGATGCTCAATGTTGGTTTATTTCTATATTCTCCATCAATACTAGCAAATTCCTATTGCCCCCCACTTTAGTGACTAATCAATTCAATTAAAATTCAACAAATAAGCTGGGTGGTGGTGGCACATGCCTTTAATCCAAGCACCTCAGAGGCAGAGGCAGAGGCAGAGGCAGAGGCAGGGGCAGAGGCAGAGGCAAGTGGATCTCTGAGTTTGAGGCCAGCCTGGTCTATAGAATGAGTTCCATGACAGCCTGCACTACATAAAGAAACCTTGTCTCGAAAAACCAAAACCAAACAAACAAAATCAACAAATAATTCCCTATAAAGATAACTTATAGCCACTAAAATGCTTCTTTAATCAAACAGTAATAAAGGAATAAAAACAAATCATTTATTAAATCGCTGCATGTTTTATATAATGTACAAAGAGCTTTGCATGATTACCTCTTAATCTTTATAATAATCCCATGAAGTACTATTATTTTGTAAATAGGGAAATTGGGCTTTGAAATAATTCAAAGACATACAACTAGCAATAGTCCAAAGACTATTCAACCACAATTCCAAACTGTCTGCATTTTAATAACCTAGTTTATGTAGGGTTCATTATACACTCTGTAGTAAATGTCTTCCAATCTGATACCACTGGCAATGCGCGCACACACACACACAGAGAACATCAAATAATCTAAGCTATAGACATAGACATGAAACTCCATATACATAAAATCTGGCTAATCCAAAATATGTATCACATGCCAAACAATGTCACCATGGAAATATACCAACTATAGTGACTTTATATTAGGAATATACAAAACTATTATCATTTTTCTCTCTAGAATAAAATAAAGTACTGGGGTTAGAGGGGATGGCTCAGCAGTTAAGAGCATTTGCTTCTCTTTCAGAGGACCTGCGTTCTCTTCCTAGAACCTATATCAAGCAGCTCATGACCACTTGTAATTCTAACTCCAGGGAATCCAATGCCCTCCTCTTGCCTCCCTAGGCACCTACACACACATGTGCGCATACTCAGATATACTTAAACATAAAATTCTAAGTAACTAAAGTACAAATCCCTATTTTAGATCTACTCTGATAAGGACTAGAAGAACAAAGAAGCACAAGGCAGAGGTAGTCAATACTTACTAGAGCGCCTTGGCATTGTCTACAAGGGAAATTTATTTGTTTAAAACATCAAACATTTCTGCTAGTAGAGAAGATTATGTGGATTCATTGCATTTGCATGAAGCAAATTTCCACTCTTATCTCAATTCTAAAAGGAGCTTAATTCATTTAATGTCTGCAGCATTTAATGGTAAAGCTTTTATTGTGCCCAAAGCTGGAATTCTTACTCCAGTTCTGCTTGGTAAGTCAGAGGAACACTCTACACAAGGAGCTACAGCATACTCCTTGCATAACACAGGTACTTCTGGGTGATAGGAAATCTATTTTGACCCACATTTCTCCCTCAAAGATTATATAAAAGATCTCTAACTTTTCACCCAGACCAAAATAATGTACACAAACCTGTCTTCAAATTGCAATCCATTATGTCTGTGATTTCTTCTTAAATATAATGATCACCTGCACAAACATGGTGCACAGACATACATGAAGGCAAAACACACACATTAAAAAAAAATTGTATATAGATCATTGAGATTACAAAGCCCTTGGTCAAAGCTAGTACTGGGACAGATTCTATTTAGTGAGATGTTTGGGGTATAGTATTAGGCACTGGAAAATAAAAGTGCTTTAAAGATCTACAGTAGGTCTAGAGAGATAGCTCAATGGTTAAGAGCCTGTACTGCTCCCAACATCCAGGTCAGGAGGCTCACAACCTGCTATATAGAGCTCCAGCTCCAGAGTGATCCAATGTCACTGGCCTCCTTAGGCACACGAAGTCATGTGCACATATTCATACACAGACACACAAACACATCTTTAAAAATAAATCTTTTCAAAAAATCAGCAGCAAGCAGGTTTATAAAAAGCTTAATACCCATACTGGCTTTGATTACATGTGACTAAGTTTAAGAAGGTAGATGAAACCCAAATCACCAAAAGCACTAATGTTCTAAACTGCTACTGAAGAATCAAAGGGTTGACCTTAAGGCAAACAGTCAAATTATGGTACAATTCTTGTCACTCTGTCTGACCTGTTGTGTGCCCTGAACTAGTCCCTCTGCCACTTTATGCTTTTCACAGTATCAGCAAGAGAATCAACTACGATCTGTCTCAGTGGAATAGTGAGTAGATTAAATTATTAAGCAAAATGCTTTGGGCAGAAGTCATATGAATGTTAAATATTATGATCTACAAGTATTCATTTTCCTGGCACTCCTGTGGGGTTAGGAAGTTATCTGGATATCCGAGATGAATAAACAGGCACAGGGGGTAAGGTCACGTGGTAAGAGTCTATTTACTTAGTCCCTGTGGAGAAAATACACACCCTTGGCAATCACAGGAACTTTCTTGGCACACCCTACACAGTCTTTAAGCATTCAATCTTGAAGTCAATTTTTCATCTTTTAACATAAGACAGAGAATGCTATGGTACAAGACCAGAAAAAACAAAGACAACTCCCCATGCTTTGGCTGAACAGCCACAGAAAGCTATAGGTTACTTCCCTCTACTACCATGTAGGGACCTTCAGCTACAGTTGAACAAGAATAAACACACTTCAAAAAAAATTTTTTGGTACTTTCTTACAAAATTCAACATATTCTAACTTGGTAGTGGTAGGAGGCAGAGGCAGACGGATCTCTATGAGTTTAAGGCCAGCCTGGTCTACAGAGTCAGTTCTAGTAAGGCCAGCCTGGTCTACAGAGTCAGTTCTAGGACAGCCAAGGCTACACAGAAAAACAGTGTCTTGAGGGAAAAAAAAATTCAACATATTCCCACTACACAAACCAGCAACCACACATTTACCAAGAGAACTGAAAATACATCTAAAATCTCTGATGCAAACTGCCTTCCTTTGTTGGAAGCAACAAAGATGTCCTTCAATGAAGGGGAAAGGATAAATAAACTGCTGTACCCTTAAACAAAGGAATATTACTCAGTGCTAAAAAGAAATAAATTGCCAAGCCATGAAAAGACGTGGAGGAATTTGATTTGATCACTTTTTAAGGTTTTTTTAAAATTTAATTTTATGTGCATTGGTGTTTTGTCTGCATTCATGTCTGCATGAGGGTGTTGGATCCCCTGGAACTGTAGTTACAGACAGTTATGAGCTGCCACGTGGATGCTGGGAACTGAACCAGGACCTCTGGAAGAGCAGCCAGTGCTCTTAACCACCGATCCACCTCTCCAGCCAAGATGGTTTTTTATTATTTTAAATTATGTGTATGTATGTGCATTTGCATGCAGATACACGCACATGAGTGCAGTTGCCTGAAGAGGCCAGAGACATCAAAGCTCTTGGAACAGGAGTTACAGACGACTGTAAGCTGACTAACATGGATGCTGGGAACTGAACTCAAGTACTCTGGAAGAGCAGCAAGTGTACTTAACCAGAGCCACTTTTCCAGTCCTACATGGGGGAATTTTAAATGCACATCACTAAGAAGCCAATCTGAGAGCCTACCTTGACTCAGACTCTATGCTGTGACATTCTGAGAAAGGAAACTACGTAAACAGTAAAAGGACTAGTGGCTAATGGGGATTAAGCAGATGAAGAATGAACAGGTGGGGGCAGGGATTTTGGGGCAGTGAAAATCCTCTGAATGATACTGATGGATTTATGTCCTTTCACATGCATCTAAACTCACAGGATGAATGCCGCTGAGCAAACCCTAATGTAAATTATGAATCTAGGCTCTCAATACAAGTTCATTATTTGTAGAAATATACCACTCTGGTAGATGCTGATAATGCAGGATGCTATATACATGTATTTGGGCTGAGTTTATATGGGCAAAATCTTTGTATTTTCCTCTTAATTTTGCTGAGAGCCTAAAATTGCTTTGAAAAAGAATAAAGTCTCAGGGAATGGGGCAGTTTCTCACAGTCCTTCATGTTAGTATGCCACAACAAACTCACCACCTTTCTTTTGGGCTGTGAGACAGACGGACAGTTCAGCAGGTAATGGCAACTGCCGTTAAGCCTGTCAAACTGGGCTTGATCCCTGCACTCATACAGTGGAAGTCGAGAACTAACTCCTGCAACTTGCTCTCTGACCTCCACACCCACACCACATACAAAACAGATGTTAAGAAAACAAAAAACCGGGCTGGAGGGATAGCTCAGCCGTTAAAGGCTAGGCTCACAACCAAAAATGTAAGAAAGCAAAAAACCAAAACGTTCTTTTCATTTCCTTCTTGAAATAAGTCTTATTCTCACTACATAGCCTGGGCTGGCCTAGAACTAGCTATGTAGACCAGGCTAGCCTTGAATTCAAAAGTCTTTGTTAGCCTCCCAAACAACAGAATTAGACAGTAAAAAGCAACAATGACCAAAGGAAAACAAACCCCAGGGGACTAAAAATGAATGATTAGCAATGGGAAGGGTTCAGTCAAAAGGGGCAAAAACACTGTTCATGTCTAAAAGAAATATAAAAGCACAGATCTTCTGCTGTTATTGAAGGCTGCTAGCTGCCCTGCTTACCCGACTCCGAAGACAGTCAGCCAGGTTTCGACGTGTGAAATTAGCTGCTGCTGTGGGGGACAATTCATATCCTGGACAAGACATAAAGAGTGATATCTGAGGTGAAGCAGAAGAAATTAACAGCATCCACCCCAAATCATTTCTCTATACTTTCCTTTTTAAAGACCCCAGCCTTAAACTCGAGACCCTCCTACTTCTGCCTCCAAAGCGCCGGGAACACAGGTGTGCACCACCACACCTATCCCACCTATGACCATCGTTAAAAGCCATTTTTATTTACTTATGTTTTTAGAAATATGATCTCATGTAAACAGGATCTCTTACGTCAGGCTGGCCTCAAATCCATTATGTAGCTGAGGATGGCTCTGAATTCCTGATCCTTCCATTTCCATCTCCCAAACTGTACTTACCCAGGTAACTTAAGGGTGTTTAAGGGTTAACCTAACAAACAAATTTTTCTTTTAGCCACTGACTTTTACCACCTGAAACACATGGATCAAGCAACTCTTCCTTGTCTTATTCACTTGACCTTCTCTCAGGACAACAATGAAATGGCACCACACTTCAGAAGCATTCGCAGCCCCTTCACTCTAAGTATATATAATCCCAAGTAGCATATGTTTTAGGTTCCTAAATGGCAGGCTCTGAGTCTTGATCATCCATATTTTCTGCAGTATTAAGCACAGTGTTTAACACTGATAAGACCTTAAAAAACACTTAAGTAATTGGGTGCATAATGCTAAATGTACTGCCTAAAAAATATGTATGAATGGATGTTATCTAGTCATTTTACATATGTAATCATATAAAAATTAAACTATAATCTGTCTTTTTGTTTGTTTTTGGTTTTTTGAGACAGGGTTTCTCTGTGTAACAGTCCTGGCTGTCCTGGAACTCACTCTGTAGACCAGGTTGGCCTCAAACTCACAAGCTCCTCTTGCCTCTGCCTCCTCAGTGCTGGGATTAAAGGCGTGTGCCACCACTGCCCAGTTTTTTGTTTGTTTTTTAAGATGGTTTCACTGTGTATCCCTGGCTGTCCACCTGCCTCTGCCTCCTGAGTGTTGGATAGTTGTAAACCATCATGTGGGTGCTGGAACCAAACTCAGGTCCTCTGCAAGAGCAGCTCAAGTGCTCTTAACTACTGAGCCTTCTCCAGCCCCCAAAGAACCCTTTTAAAGTACAGTGTCTTATAACTACACAGAATTTTAAATTTGCAAAGCATATTCTCTCTCCCTCCCTCTCCCTTCCCCCAACCCCCTCTCTCTTTCTCACAGTGTTGGGATTAAACCTAGGGCTTCCCAAATGCTCAGCAAATGCTCTGCCATGGAGCTCCATCCTCGAGCCAGGTCAAGACCTTTGTTTTTTGAGTCACAGTGTTGTGCAGCCCTCAAACTCCCTGTGTAGCTGAACACAGGGCCTTTAACTTCTGATCCTCCTGCCTCCATCTTCCCAGTGCTAGGACTACAGGCATATACCACCATTTCTGGTCAAAGCATTTTCATTAATATAAATATAATCCCATTTTAGAAAAAGAGAAGAGGCCGGGTGATAGTGGCACACACGTTTAATCCCAGCACTTGGGAGGCAGAGCCAGGCAGATCTCTGTGAGTTTGAGGCCAGCCTGGTCTACAGAGTGAGTTCCAGGACAGGCACAAAAACTACACAGAGAAACCCTGTCTCGGACAAAAAAAAAAAAAAAGGAAAAGAGTAGAGTCCAGTAGCTGTTCTTTCAGATGACCCAGGTTCAACTCTGAGCACCCACAACCCTCTGGAATTCAGTTCCAGGGGATCTGAAAATGTCTTCTGGTTTCTGTGGGTACCACATGGTGCACAGAAATGTATGCAAGCCAAACATCCAAACGCAAAACACAGCACTTAAAAAAAAAATTCTAGCCGGGTGGTGGTGGCGCACACCTTTAATCCCAGCACTCAGGAGACAGAGCCAGGCACAGAGGGAAGAGGGTCACTTACAAGCCAAGGAAAAAGTCTCAGAAGAATTCAACCCTGTTAACTCCTTGACCTCACACTGTAGCCTCCAGAGCTACTAAAGAGTTCTGCTGTTTAAACTGCCCAGTCTGTGGTACCTTGTTATGTCAGCCCTAGAAAATAATGCGTCAGCCAAAGCTACCCTCTAAGTCTTACCCACCATTCCGCATCTTATAAAGCTGCACGTTTTTCTGGATATATTCTGCAAATTGTACAGTGTCTCCAGCCTCTCCAACACATAGGAGTAAGATTTTTTCACTCATCTTAAACATCTTGTCATGATCTGCTCAAAGGAAAAGAAATTCATATTAGAAATTACCACCACAGAAACCAAAAGCTATTTATATATGCAACCATAAACAGGTCTACTAATTACTATGCTTAAGAATTTTACTAACCATTATTATAAGACATTAATAGTTTCACTAACCAACATGTTAACTATCTACATATTTTACTTAGGTTAATTTCTATCGAAAATTGTATAAGAAAGCAGACTATTTAAAATACAATAGTGGGGGAAGGCAGGGCTGGAGAGATGGCTCAGCAGTTAAAGAGTACTGGCTGCTCTTTCACAAAACCCAAGTTCGATTCCCAGCACTGACATTAGGGTTCACAACCACGTGTAACTTCAGTTCCAAAGAATCTCACATCTTCTTCTGATCTCTGGGGGCATTGCACACATGTGGTACACAGACATACATGTACTATACATATAAAATAAATATTTTGTTTTAATTACAATTTGGGGCTACACATGTATCTCAGTGATATAACATATGCTGAGTGTGTGTGAGGTCCTGAGTCCAATCTCTAGCACTTAATTAATTAATTAAAAAATAAAATTTAAGCTTGGCATGGGGTCACATACTTTAATCCCAGTACTCCAGAGGCAGAGGCAAGCTGATATCTGTGAGCTTGAGGCCAGCCTGTTCTACACAGTACGCTACAGGACAGTCAGAGCTACACAGTGAGACCCTATCTCAAAAAACAGAAACAAACAAGCAATAAAAAGCAATTTAAGAACATTTAAACTACAAGGAATAGAAAAATGGGGGGGGCAAGCTGAAGGAATGCAGACTATGGTGATTATCTTGAGGCAGGAGATTAAGTACAGAGTTCTGTTACTACAGATACAATGTTATATACACATACAAAAAAATGCAGAAAGAATGGATTCTACAGTTCAAATTAAAGAACCATTTCAACAAAGAAATAAAAAAAAAAATCAGCTGAGACTCCAAATCTCAAAGTAAACACTACATTTCCAAAGCAAAAAAGAAAACTGGTTGCCAAACAGAAACTTTAAGGAATGTGCTAACAGTGAGCTATCTAAATACCTAATGAGAACAATAATACTCTAACCTTATCTAGCTGAACCAGACTCATTCAGATTAAATAGATAAATAAATACTCAGGTTGTAATTGTTGCCTAGGGAAGAAAACTCAGTATTTAGTCGGCAGCTTCAGAGAAAAGCTTAAATCTTCCTATCTCACTCCTACTTTCACTTTCATTTTTCCAATAGTGCTGAATAATCTCCCCTGGGAGACATGTTTCCCTGTATGAAAGCTTTTGAAATGTCAAAATCTCTTAATAGGATTTAAGGAACAAATGCAACTATCAAACACTTTACAAGTGTTGGAGAGTTGTAGACACTAATAATGTGGATTTTTAGATTGGAGCGGGGTAGGGGATGGGGGAATGGGGAAGGGAGTGGGGGGTGGGGGGTGGTGTTGTTTCCTACATAAAATATGCTTATACATAATGTTGAATTGCATTAAAACTCCAAAATAAACAAATTTTCACTTATTACACATTCAAAGACTGTTTGCAAAGTTGTTATAAATGGAAGATTCATTTACATACACATACACGAGTGTGTGTGCATGTGCACAAAGGACAAGAAGAGTATATATTCTAAGTTCCTGACAGTGGTAAGAATATGAACAATTTTTATTTCCTTCTTTTGCTTATTAGTATTTTGTAAATCTCTACACTTAACATGTTTAATTTTTGTAAGAAAACATTATTTAATAAGTTTACATTATTTTTTAGAAGGAAAAAAAGGCAGATAAGCAACACGGTCCAGCAGGTAAAACAACACACACACACACACACACACACACACACACACACACACACACACAAATATTGGGAGGAAAGTAGTTCTTGTTGGGGAATGAGTTTACAAACTTCATCACCTTTCAGCAAAAAGGCTAAGATTCTAGGCAGTAAACTGTTAATTATGAAGTACATGTAATACAGGCAAACTTCTACAGGGAGGATGTACATATGCTTCAGAACAGAACAGATGGACATCTATGGCCCTGGGTTGTACAAGATACTGCCTGTACAGCTCTAGGATGCTCTTACACTTGACAACAAATCACAAGATCCACAAACACAGACAACCAAATGAGTATCAGCATGTAATGCCAGCCATGTGATCCATCAGAGGGGAACATACCAAACACAGTGGGCAAATAATTTGCCTGTCTAAACTCCAGTTACCAAAAATATGTAAATGATGACCCGATCATTACCAACGCCTAACTCACAGGTAAGGAAAACTGTTACACTTAGCGTTAGATAATGTACTGTAAATCACGTATGTTTTAGGAATTCAGAATAGCAAGTTTCTGGAGATCTCCAAGTAACTAAAAAGTCACTCTGTGTAGGCCAAGAGGAAAAAGGCATGAACTGTAGCATATATCCAATCAAACTGAGACCTGAACCAGGCAGCTATATAAGCAGACATTTGGAAAATGTCTTCTTCCCAGTATCGATGGATTTTCCCAAGCAGCATAATGAAAAAACAATGTCAGGCAGTACTCTGAGTCAGTATTTTGATGCATGACTGTAACTCTAGTCCTGGGAGGCTAGGTTACATGAGAAGTACCAGGCCAGTCAGGACTACATAGTAAGACCCCGTTTCAAAGAGCCAAAAAGCCCCTCCCCTAAAAGCATTAACAAAACAAGTCTCTCCTCAAATTACTGTTCAGCATTCTTGCCTATTCCACACAAATTCCATCAGGCAATTCTGAACCTCCTACCCTAAAGTTTTTCACACCAGATTAAGCTATCAGTTGAGTGCAATTATTTCCAACTCTTCTTCAAGAACTTATTCAAATTCATCCTTTTTCCATACCTTAAATCTTTTTCTTTTCTGTGGCTATTCATAGGACTTATTCCTAAAATTGTTGATTTAAAAACTAGACTAACACTGGGTGGTGGTGGCATGAACTTTTATTCCTAGCACTCAGGAGGCAGAGGCAGGTGGATGTCTGTGAGTTCCAGGCCAGCCAGGACTGTTACACAGAGAAACCCTGTCTTGAAAAACCTTAAAACAAAACAACAAAAAACAAAAACAACCCAAACAAACAAACAAACAAAACCCTAACTTAACACTACTAGTAATACTTCTATCACACAAAAAACCATCTTGTATCTATTTCCTAGGTTTTTCTTTGATGTTTGGTGTGTGTGTGTGTGAAGGGGGGGGGAGGGACAGAGTCTCATCATGTAATCCTATAATGGCCCTGACTTCATTATGTAGACTAGGCTTCTCTCTAACTAGAGATCATCCTGCCTCTGCCTCTTATGGGATGGGATTACAGGGATACACTACACCTGGCTCTCCTAGTCTTGGCTTTTTCTGCAGATTTTAGCTAAGAGGCTGCACCCCTGTAACAACTAGAAGTACAGTATGGATAAGGGTTTGGAACACATTCTCCTTCTCAAAGCGATCCACTATTACTGTGATGAAACAGAAGACACACTGATGTGGTGACTGCTCCACCCACACTCTTCATGCTAAAACCACCTGCCTGCCAGAGCCTTACTATTAAAGCAACGGGCAAATTCACTCTCACAACAAACTGATTCCTTTGGAGAGTGGCTTACACAAACTAATCATAAAATTTCATAAAGTCTCTTGAGAAACAATTCATACCACAGATGTATGATTTCAAGTTCTTCAGAAAGAACAGAGCTCAAAGTTCATAGAATCCTTTCTGTTTTCCCAGATGGGAGCTACAGGCTCGCAACCAGATAGGTGCCTGTTCCTTTGTAGAAGCAGTCATAGGCACTTGTGCTATCTTACCTCCGATCATACACTTCAGCAAACCCCAACATTAATCATTTTTATTCCAGAAGTCCAGGATTAATTGCTATTTGCCTTCAAAGCTTTCCCTAAACTCTACAACCAGAATCTCTCCCTCATCATCGTTACCTAAAAACAGTTTCCTCTTCCTATTAGCCCAAAGTCTGACTGCTCTTGTCATGACACATCAATCACTTTCTAGCTTGTGCTATAATTATTTATACACATACCTGGATCTCTTACTGAATCACTAACTTTGTGTGTATGTGTGTGTGTGTTATACACACAAAAGTGTATGGGTACACCTGCCTGTGCTCAGGACAGAGGAGGACATCATGTCATCTTCCACCTTATTCTCACGAAGCAGAAACTCACGCTTTGGGCTTGGCTGACAGCCAGGGAACTCAGGATTTGTGTTTGCTGCTCCCAACAGGGGTTACAGGCACACAGCCATGCCTGGCCTTTTTTTTTTTTTTTTCAAAGTAAGTACTTGGAATTTAAATTCTGCTCTCCATGCTCACATAGCAAGCACTCTTGCCTACTCAGCCATCATACCAACTCCGTTACCTTCTTTAAAAAAAAAAAAAAAAAAGATTTATTTATTTATTTAGAAGAGGGCATCAGATCTCATTACAGATGGTTGTGAGCCACCATGTGGTTGCTGGGAATTGAACTCAGGACCTCCAAAAGAGCAGCCAGTGTTCTTAACCTCTGAGCCATCTCTCCAGCCCCGCCCCACACCCCTTAGCTTCTTTTAAAACAGGGATTATAGTATTCTTTTTCCCCCTCCTTTCAGCACTTAGCACTGTAAGGTACACAGAAGTGTCCGAAAACCATCAAATGAATTTTTAATTCACTGGACAAAAAACAAAATACCTTTCAAACATGCCTATGGTCAATCATGAAAACACACTCTTAGATTCCGTGGGTCAATTGCCACTATAAAAGAAGCAGTAGACTATAGTAGTTATGGGTAAAAGGTCCTGTTTCTCAAGATGTCTACTAACTTGCTTTTACAGAGCTGAGAATGGAACCTGGGGCCTTGTGCATAGTAGAATCTATGTACTTTGCCACTGTACTTTGTCCCAAATTACACAGGTTTCTGGGTTATTACCTGGGTTCTGCCACTTATAAATTTAAGAACTTTTTCTCTGATAATTAAAAAAAATTATGTATTTATTTAGGGACTCTTTCTTTCTTGTTCTGTGTGTGTGTGTGTGTGTGTGTGTCACAGAACAGGTGTGGAGGTCAGAGAACAACCTGTGGGGAGTCAGTTTCTCCCTCTACCATCTGGGTTCTGGGATCAAACTCAGGTTGTTTCTTTAATATTCTGTGTCCAACTAACTCTACAAAGAGAGAATAGTTTATCCTTCAAAAAAAGTAAAAGGATAAAGTCGTTGGACACACCTGATACATTCTGTTAAGTATCTGTCCAATGCTAAACATCTGCACATGACTTGTTCACTCAATCCTCTCAACAAGTTTTGCGTTGAGTATTACTAATCTGAGAGGTAAGAAAATCTGAGCCCTGAAAAAATAACGTACAAAAATCAAAGCAAGTAGAGGGAGACGCCATCTCTACTTGCACTAACTATTTAAATACAAGGAAAACCTAGCAGCAGGTGAAAGCTGAAAAGGAGGATCTGAACTGGGCAAGTGAAGCAGACTGGAAAACCCAGTGTCACCCTTCCCCAGGATGCCACCGTAGGGCGCCCACAAACTAGACTCTACTAGTGACGACGGGAACTTATCAGGAATTCAGAGATCTGAGGACCCTAGCCCCGAACCCACACTTCAGCTCTTACAAACTGCATTCCCCAACTGGGCAACTCCCACCTAGCAAGCGGCAATTGGCCAAGGCCAGAGCACAGCCCTGACCTAGAAGCGAAAGCCAGAGTCCGAAGTTTATCTGCCAGCTTCCTCGGTTCTAAATTTTGCAGTGCTGGAAGGGCAGAGCAGGCTGAGCTCCATCTTCCAAGCTGCCCTGGGGTTCACCCTACACTTGACCAACTTCCGCCGACTGCCCCTACACCCAGGCCCGCCGGGCCTCCCCTCTCCTTCTCACCGTCCTTCATCTGGACAATATTGCTGGCTGCCACCCTATCGGAGGCGACGAGGACATAGTCGGGGCCCTGGATGCCGATGAGGTACTCCATGGTGGCCGGAAGCGTGAGGCAGCAGGGTCTACGGAGAGAAGGACTTCCCGGGTTCACGGCCTCACCAGTGAGACAGCACACCGCGACGAAACGGGGCGTGACGCAAACCGCGCGACTGCCCGGCAAGTGGCGCGGGCCAATGACGTCAACTCTCGCGAGAGAGTAGAGAGCCGGCGGGAAGTGGTTCAGGTCTCCTTTAGTGATGTAGCTCTGGGTTATGCAATGTTCGGTTTCCTTATCGACCAATTAGAGTTTCAAAATTTGTACGAAGATAGGACCGCGCCCTGTGTGCGAAATGCCAGCACACGTGGGTGCTTACGGAGGGGAAGGTCTTCAGGTTTCTGTTTCATTTCGTTGCTCGGTTAAACTAGCTGAAATCTTTCCCTGCAAGCCACAGATTGGAGGAAAATCACCTTGAGCCCTGGAGTTAGGGACCAGCCGGGGCAACATAGGGAAACAAACCTCAAAAACAAAGCAAACCAAACCTACTTGGCGGTGGTTCACTCTTGAAGTCCTAGTCCTGGGTGAGCTGAGGCAGGAGGAGGCGTGACAGTCAAACCTGAGGACCAAAGTTCAATCCCTCGAAACCACAGTAGAAAGACAGAACTGACTCCCCAAAGATTTCCTCTGACCTTCACACTTGCACGTTCCATGGCCGCACCCCCCCACAAATCAAATTTTAAATATTTACTTTGTTTTGTTTTGTTTTGTTTTTTGAGGCAGGGTAGCCTTGGCTGGCATGGAAAGCTGTGTAGATCAGGCTGATCTCAAATTCATAGAGAGCTGCGTGCCTCGGCCTCCCCAGTACTGGAATTAAAGGCCTGGGCCACCATGCCCCCACTTAAAATAGTTTTTAAGAGAGATAGAGTAAGATAGAAAATAGGAAGGGCTGAGAGACAGTTCAGTGGTTAAGAGCACTGGGCACTCTTCGGAACACCTGGGTTCAATTTCTAGCACCCGCATGGCAACCGCAAGGTAATTTGTAACTCTGACACCTCTCTGGCCTCTGCAGGCACTGCACACACTTGGTGCACACACATATGTGCAGGCAAAAACACTCATACACATAAAAAAATAAGTATTTTAACGAAGAAAGGGTAATAGAGGAGTGACTACGATTAAACTACATATAAAAATGTCATAATGAAACTTATGACTTGAACCTTAATAAATATAAATATACCTTAATAAAAAATTTTAAACATTTAGGAATTGGGGTGTCACTCAGTGGTCGGATGGTTATTTAGCATATTTAAGACTCCAGGTTCCATTCTCACAAAAATAAAAAATAAGAATAAGTTAAATGTACATTATCATTTAAACGTATCCAAAGAAATGTCTGCATAATAACCCAAATATTGGGTTTGGGGATTTAGCTCAGTGGTAGAGCCCTTGCCTAGCAAGCACAAGGCCATGGGTTCGGTCCTCATCTCTGGAAAAAAAAAATAACCCAAATATTTGTGCACAGAGATGTTGTGTTGCACCACTGTGGCAGCGGCGAAAAGAGGATCGACTTCCATGTTTAAATAGAGATGTTTTAGAGACAGTGCTATTTGCGTACAGCATCATATTATCCATCTATTTGAAAAATGAAATGGGACTGAGGAGATGGCGCAGTTCACAGCATTCACAAGGACCTCAGTTCAGAACCCCAGAACCCACAGGCCTGGCATGGTGCCATGTGTCTGTTAGCCTAGTGACAGGGAAGTGAGAGGTGGAGGCGGGAGCCCCGTGAGCTCATGGGCTGCTGGCCTGGCCTGTATGGTAAAGTTCAAGACCATGAGAGACCCTATCTCAAAGCAAAAACTGGAACATGCCTGAGAACTCACACACACACACAAACACACAAAAAAGAATGAAGTAAATTCTCCTATAACTCCAGATATATTTCACTTAACTGAAAATGAAATTGCTTTCCTACTTGTAGTAGGAAGCCATTTTATAAAACAGTGAGTGTTCCTCTATGAATGGAAACCATTTAGGAATATTTCAAAGTCTGCTATGTGCAGTCATTTAGTATATGTGATTTAAAGGGAAGATTTTTTCCCTTGAATTTGCTAGAATGCCCCTACCTCTCAATCCTGAATTCTGGGATTACAGGCACACTCCAATATGCCTAGATCACTTTTTATTGTACATGTATATGTTTTTTTTAATGTTTACCATTCTCAAGTGTCACTTGTATCTCTGTGTGCGTGTGTGTGGTTTGTGTGTGTGTGTGTGTGTGTGTGTGTGTGTGTGTGTGTGTGTGTGTATGCTAGGGGTTAAAACCAGGCTTTCCTTACTACATTAAGCATACCCTTTAACACTGAATTACACCACAGCTAATTACTTATAGTTAATTACATGAGACAGAGTCTTGTGTAGCTCAGGATGGCTTCAAACTCCCTATATAGCGGAGGGTGATTTTGAACTCTCCTGATCCTCTTTCCTCTACCTCCCAAGTGCTGGGATTACAGGCATGTGCCACTACACCAGGATTTACTTAAAAAGAAAACACCACCTTTTAAGCCTTGCAGCAATTCTGAGAAAAAAAAAGGGGGGGGGGAATTAACTCATGACTAGGTTCTGATATATACAACTGAGTCCTCATATAACTTAACGAGAAATGGAAAGTAAGTTGCAATTCTGTCTCCAAAAACAATGATGGGATTCCCTTGTCTCTGCAGAAATTCTAGTAATTACTTCTTTCTGTGTGCTTCTTCCAAGTCTCTGCCCAGAAGGGGACATAGAGCCTGAGGAGTTCGGAGCAGTCTATCTATCATGGGATGTATGCCAGGGGCAAGTGAGGTCATTAAGCCAGCCATCTCTCTGAACACAACTGCATCTATCATTCTCAGAGAATTCTTTTCTTAAGCATCACTAGAGAAAGCCCCCACTGAAACACCCTCCTCTCTCTGTGACACATTGTATTTTTTAATGGCTAAAATTACAGAGTTATGCTGTATACAACCTGCTTACATATTTTCCTTTGTACATATTAATATTCATTCATTCACTCAAGAAGATGCAGAATTTGAATAGGAAGATCTGATACACACATTACACATATATACACATATATGTTTATATATAATAAATATACATAATATTATATATATATAAACAATCTCTTCATTGGACTCTTCTCTTCTCTCCAAGACTTGAAATATCTTCTAGATTTCAGTCCCTAGAGATGCATTACTTTCTTGTTAGTTCAGAAAAAATGGGCCTGGGGCTGGAGAGATGGCTCAGTGGTTAAGAGCACTGGCTGTTCTTTCGGAGGACCTGGGTTCAATTCCCAGCACCCATATGGCAGGTCTCAACCTTCTGTACTCTGTTTCAGTGGTGCTGACACCTCACACAGCCACCCATGCAGACAAAACACCAATGCACATAAAATAAAAATAAATAAATTACGGGGAAAAAAAGAAAGAAAAAATGGGTTTTTAAGACTTAAATTATGGTGACAGGAGAGATGTCTCAGTCAATAAAGTGCTTGTGTTGAAATCATGAAGACCTGAATTCAGTCCCCAGACTCCATGTGAAAAAGCTGGGTGTAGTGGTGTGCTTGTTGTCCCAACACGGGGGAGACAGAGATGGTGAATCCCTGGGGCTCACTGTCCAGCCAGCCTGCTTTACTTGATGAGCTCCTGGGAAGGGAGTGCACAGTGCATGAGGAACAGCACCTAAGCAACAACATCTGAGGCTATCCACTGACCTCTGTGTGCATATGTACTCATGTGCATGTGAACCTGCACATGCACGTGCATCTGTACATGTACCAACAGAAAGGGGGGACAGGCAAAGAGAGGACAAGGTGACTCAGCAAGTATCGACACTTGCCACCACGCCCGATGACCTGAGTTGGTTCTCTAGAACCCACATGGAATAAAGAGAGGACTTCCTCCCTCGGATCGTCCTGACTCCCACAAGGGCACAGTGGCACGTGTGCACATCCCCCCTACATACTCTATAATAAATAATTTTTTTTTCAGATTTTTTCTTCCAGAGCTGAGGACTGAACCCAGGGCCTTGTGCTTGCTAGGCAAGCGCTCTACCACTGAGCTAAATCCCCAACCCCATAATATATAATTTTGTAAGAGAAGAAAAGCCTAAAATGTAGAATGGTTTTAGAAGTTTAGAAGAAGTCAGGTTTTGGTGCAGACATGGCCATCTTCAAGCACCACACACACACAAACAGTGCCCAAAATAACATCAAGAACCCCAGTCAGCTGGGTGTGCTGGTGCCGGTCTGGGGACAGGCAGTGCTACAGCAGAGAGAGGATATCCAGACGGGTCATTTCCATTTGTCCTGGGGCCTGTCTCTACAGCTCTGCGACACTTCCTTCCTCCTGGGCAGGGAGGGAATTTTGAAGATGTTGGGGACTAAGAAGAAAAGGAAGTGGAAGTTTCCCCAGGTTTTGTCCTATGCATTATTTGCTTTATTTATTTATTTATTCATTTATTTTGGTTTTTTTTGTTTTGTTTTGTTTTGTTTTTTTTGTTTTTTGTTTTTCGAGACAGGGTTTCTCTGTGTAGCTTTGCACCTTTCCTGGATCTCGCGCTGTAGCCCAGGCTGGCCTTGAACTCACAGAGATCCGCCTGCCTCTGCCTCCCGAGTGCTGGGATTAAAGGCGTGCGCCACCACCGCCCGGCTATTTTGGTTTTTTTGAGACAGGGTTTCTCTGTGTGGTTTTGGTGCCTGTCCTGGATCTCGCTCTGTAGACCAGGCTGGCCTCGAACTCACAGAAAGCCCCCTGACTTTGCTTCCCAAGTGCTGGGATTAAAGGCATGCGCCTCCACTGCCCGGTCTGTTTGCTTTATTTAATGGTTGGATTAATTGAGTTAGCAAGCTCTGTGATTCATTTAATTAGCAGGCTCCATGAGAACGTTTAATAGGAAGAAGTTTGGGTGGCTGGGCAGCCAAGCCTACAGCCAAGGTCCGCTGCATGTTCTTGGCACTTGGGGAGTGTGACAGACTGGTGTCTAGAAAGGTGTGGGTTGTGATCTACCAGGGACATTATGCTGCACATCAGAGGTGCAGCGGTTGTCACAAGGTCTCTAGGTCGTGAGAAAGAAAGCTGGGTAGCTAATAGGATTTGGTAGCTCTGGTCCTCGGTGTAAGTTT